CCTTCACTCCTATGAGCAGGGCGTTCTTCGGCCAGGTAAGACTCGGTAACGTCTTCCTCCTAGACAGCCGCTCGCAGACCACCGGGCCCGAACGGTGCCTCGGGCCGGCCGTGTTCGTGGTTTCCGTTTGACATCTTTGTGAGGCAAGAGGCAGGGCGCCCGTGGTGAATGGGCCTGTTGTCGCTACCCATCCCTAGCGACGGTCCTTCCACGTCTTTCGTGCTCCCAGAGCGTGCCTGGCTGTGTCCCGCTGTCTTCGAGCCACCAACCCCTGCACCCTCATGGAGAGACCCCCGTTCCTCAGCCTCGAACCATCGCCGTCTCCAACCTCGAATGTGGTCAACCTAGACAACCGATGGAGATGCGTGTCGCATGCCGAGACTTGGAATGAAACCTAATCCCCAACCTGAGATAAGAAGAGGCCTCAACGAGTTCCAACACTACCGCGCCCGCGCCACACCCCATGAGTGTTTTAGGGGCCCAACACCACGAAGCAAACAACCTAAAATGGGGTCACCTGCTCTCCCGCGGAGGGATACGTACGCCAATTACCCCCCTTTGAGGACTGACAACCACACACGAAGTACGTGGGTTGTCGTCGAGTCCCTAATAGTGCCGGAAGACACCTTGGGACCTTCTCCCTCAGACAATACCCCAGCGACTTCCCTGAAAAAATAGCGAACCTCCTTGAAGTTGCGCGTGTCACACCGTGTACTACCTCTGTGAACTCCCCGCACTGGAGAAACCTCCTATGACCGGGGGGACTAGACTTGGCCTCAACACCCAAACAATGACTCGAAGAGGACGATCAGGTCCTACCGTATTGGTTTGTGGTACAAGGGCGACTTGTATTCCTACGCAGTATTCACATGCACCATGTCCTCGTGGGATCGTCTTCCAGGTACTAGCTAAAACCAATCAGCCATAGTAGCCTGGACTCCGGGCATACAAGAACTGTGAGTACATCTTCTCTACCCCGCTCAGACAGTTGACTAGTGTAGACCACACTCAACGCCGAGCTCCCACGCGCCCTTCGAGACCTATCTGGAACGCAATTCGCGTTTGCACACTCAGCAGCCACTCTGACCTTGCAGACCTCCTCGGGTTCAAGTCCTTCGGAAGTTGGAGTGTCGGCAGGCCGCCTCGACAAAGCCTGTAAGGACACCTCCCAACCCCTGTCAACTTGGTCTCCACCAAGCCACAAGTTTTCGGAGATAGACCGACTTCGGCGCCCCCCCTCGAACACCAGAGTTCGGCATCCACGGAGTCTCCCCGCCGGCCATGGGGAGCTTGGAAGGACCACCTGTGGCCACCAGTCCCTTCTGGCATGCTGACTTCTTTCTCCGGAAGTTCCCTAAAACAATAGGGCCCTAGGCTCCGTCCACGTTGCCCATGGCTGTCACGAGGCTTCCGTCTGTCGGAGTCGGTCCACCGGCTCCGGTTTCGTCGCACCTGCCACACCCTTTCAAGGCCTCTTTCTGTAACCTTTTCCGAACACACCCGACCGTCGTGCTTCCACCACAACCTCTTTGACACGGCTGTAAAGGAACAAGAACTCCTAACTACAACCCCCCTCGCCTTTCATGAGGTCTTGTGAACCAATCTTAGTCTGGCCCCTTGCGTGAGACCAATTTGCCATGGGAGACCCTACCAGGAACACAAGGTTCCAGACAACACAGCCCCCAGGTTCATCAGGGCACACAAACCTCTCTGCCACGGTAAGGTGCTGGTTCTTCACCAGCCTTCAGAGCTAATAGTTTATATATCACCACATGGTCACAACCATGGATGCATAAAGAGAACACAACAGTGACAACAAACTATATATTAATTCAGAGTCAGGCTTGGTACTGTGCGTAGCGGACCTGACAGGTTATGGCTAGAAAGGATCCGTCTTGTGTAAATATGACGTCACGTTCTCGTTGTAACTCTCGTTGTAATCGGAGCGGCTCGGAAACACATCTACACAGCAGAGCAGTAACATGCAACATAGAACATACACATTAATTCAGCAGCAATATTAATAGAGAAACATCAGACATAATTGTAAAACACTGAAAGGGAACATTTTATTGCACCAGGAGCTATCTTGGGACTTTTACTGCGATAACGTTGACTTGCCTGTGAATACAAAATAAACCATAGTGTTAGTGATCTACAGTGTTGTCATTCTTCTTTGAACAGCAAGACCGCTAACATCCTATTTCAACAATCACACTCCCTGTAATTTACATAATTAATAGATAGTTTAGCTTCTCAGTCACCATCATTTGCTGTGGCCCACTGATGTTAACGATCGTAACTGAAAGGCTTCCTGCCAAACGTAAACATTCAGCCACGTGACTTGCAAACTCTCGCGACCTGACAGTCAGCACTCGGGGCAAAGAGACTAAAATATATAAAACCGACGCCACTTCCTGTCTCGCTCCCTTTCGACCGCGAGGCGCTGGTCCCTGCAAGTGTGGTGCACGTGGTGAGAAATATAACTCTGAATTACCGTCTTATTATTACACTATATAAGGATTAACATGTAAGAAATGCTATAACTATGCTGCAGGGATACATTAATGAACTCACTTTAATGGCTGCATTGCTTTTAATGTATATACGGGGCATGCACAACACAACTCTTGAGCCAGTGGTAACAAATAACTAACTAGCTAAATTGCATCCGTCGTCCCTGGGCAGGAATACATATTTAAAAACTACCAATTTGCTAAACACGTTTTCCCTTTTTTATATTGACGCACACCATTAAAGCCTGGCACTGATCTCGTCTGTGTTTGGGTGTCGGAAGTGTGCCACAGTAACATGGCCGGGTTTTCGCTAACACGAGTAGGACTGCTGTCCCATGACTGGAGTTTGATAGTGACCTGTGCCACATTTTAACATTAAAGAGCAGGAATATGTGTATATATACATTTAAAAAAACGACAATGGTTTGCAAAACAACATCAAAGATTGGAAGATCAAGATGTCGATCCATACTGGCTCAAATAACTCGATAGTGGGACGATGAGAATGGATCCCATCCATTTTTAAAACAAAATCAAAAAAATGTTTCTTTTTTCTCTTCTTCCAGCTCTCCCATCAAACTCATAACTCACTATACACGATGTCTGGATGTGCTGTAGATGCAGGAGGAAGATGTTCTGACCTTCATTGAAGCAGGAACCAACCAGGCTCTCAGATGGAGCAGCATCTGCAAGAGATACTGACAGTGAGTTTTGACTAATATTTCATGTGTCTTTACCAATTCCAGCCTAAATAAGTAAAACCTGTTTCACTTTCCTAATAACAGTAGGTCTGTCTTAAAGTAGGACCATCACACCATATTAGCCTTGAAATGTTATGTTACAGCAAGAGCATGCAGCCAAAAACTAATCACAAATTAGAGTGTTCTTGTCTTCAACATGACATGGCTTCACTGTTAGTTTGATGACTTTTATCTTGTGCAATTGCACTTAAAGTTCACATCAAAGGAAGAGCTAGCCTCGCTTTGAACGCTTATTGTTTTAAGATATTTGAAGTTGCATTTCATTGCATTAAACATGAAGCACACAATTAAAGCCCGGCACTGATCTCGTCTGTGTTTGGGTGTCGGAAGTGTGCCACAGTAACATGGCCGGGTTTTCGCTAACACCAGTAGGACTGCTGTCCCATGACTGGAGTTTGATAGTGACCTGAGCCACATTTGAACGTTGTAGGGCAGGAATATACATTTAAAAAAAAAAAAAGTTTAAAAAAAATAGTAATGATTAGAAGAAATGCCCCGATATTGACTCAAATAACTGGGTGGTGGGATGATTACAAAGGTCAGATCTGAATACAAAATAAATTCATAAAATTGAAGAAAAAGCTTTACCTTGATGGTAGACTGGCTAATTATCTGATCCCCAAACTCTGTTGCTGTGTGTCAAGCTTCAGTTTTCCTCTCCAGGTAGTGTGTACTTTACAATGCGAGGAAGGCTTGGGAACGGCCAGAGCCATTTGGTGCTTCTTGAACCTGGGCATGTTGGCATCCTCTCCTCCAGGAATACAGAGCAGGTCTGTATTTGCACAAAGCTTTATGTTGCACGTTTAATTATAAAAGTAGGACCATATCATAAATGTCTAGATGATTGAGATGTTTGGTTAAAGCAAGAGCATGCAACTCAAAACGCATTGCATTAAACATGCAGCACACAATTAAAGCCTGGCACTGATCTCGTCTGTGTTTGGGTGTCGGAAGTGTGCCACAGTAACATGGCCGGGTTTTCGCTAACACCAGTAGGACTGCTGTCCCATGACTGGAGTTTGATAGTGACCTGAGCCACATTTAAATGTTTATAAGGGGGCTTTTCTTTTTTCATAAAATTGTACTAGTTGGGAACCTCCTGCAGGCACAGTTGCACTACATCTTTTATAATATTTGTTTACCCGTTTCTTCAGAGCAAATGGCAGCAAGTTTCCATTTGCAACCCACAAAGCACTGCCTCAGGTTACTTCAGTTGTAATGGGTTCAATGAATCAGCAGATTCTATAGTGAATGGATTAGGCCCATATGCAGGCACATTGTTAGGCTGTCTGCTGTTAGCTTCCTGGTGTCTTTCACATGGAAAAGATTAGTGAGTAGAAACCACATTTGAAGACATCCTTTGCCCCAGGGGCTGTTAAGAAACTTAGATCAGCTGATTTGAAGCCTTGTGTGGCATAATTTCCTGTCGGCAAACTATAGGCTGCTTAGCTACCAGACAAGTTGCACGTTTTATCCCCCCTTTGATTTTTGTTACTGTGCTGTGACTATTTAATTTGGTGGCTGAACATTTGAATGATTTGCAGGTGTGGTGTCTGTGACTCAGGATGCCTCTGGAGGGAGAGGTCTGACATCTCCTGGTAGCTTATGAAGTCACACCTGTTCTCTACTTCTACAGGAGATTTGGAGGAGGTGAGTTATTATGCTTTTGCTGAAGTGATAATAACATTATCTCTCCTATTTATTTTTAAATGTAGAATATTTCCACCTTTTTTTTTTTACCTATAATTTTTCTCAATACCAAATTCTGAGTTTTCTTACCATGTTTACCAAATTATTTTCAGAGTTGTGTTTTTGGAAGAGTTCTGATGAATTTGAAAATGTTTAAACGGGTTGCTTATTTAAATGTTTCTCACGGTTTTCTCTTGTTTCCTGTTCAGGGGTGTTGTGACCAGACGACCACTAAAGACTGGTGTCAAGTCGAGAAGAAACTCATGAGAAATGCACAATGCTTTTGTTGCACGTCTCTGTCCTCAGATCTTCCTGAGGTTTATTTTATCTCCTTTGTGTCAAAGGACCGAGGCTGTACAGATTGTTAACTTCCCTGAGGAAGTTGATGTTGGACTATATGAAGGAAACTGCACTAAGCTGAGAAATCAATAAAGATGGCTGATTATTCATAAAACTGTCTTGTTTATTTTGGTTGTCTGCAATAATATTACACAATGTATGCACATGTACAAAATTCAAAATCTGCCAAATGTCAACATGTATACAGGCAGAAGTAAATGGCATGGTGCAATGTCCCTTACTAAAGAATTAATATCCAGTGTGCTTATATTTTCCTATGAGTCATACATTCCTTAAATTCTCGTAGTAATTTACACGCAAGTAATTAAGAAACTTTAATATTTGTCCATGTGAGTAATCACTCACACAATATCTCACTTACGATGCATTGAAGTTGACTTTTGTATAAACTATTTTCAAAGATACCATACCACCCCAGATGGGAATCGACCATGAATCCCTGGCTTACGAGGCCAGTGCCTTATCCTCATTTGTTAACTATGCTGCATAGTTAATGGATATTTATATCTGTGCTTTGTTTAATAAATATTTTTCTAAATTCTGAACCGCCATGTATGTTTTATAAAGTGTGTGATACAGCCATTTTTCTTTCTTCCGTTGCTACGCAACAAAGAACAAACTGCTTCATCAAGTTGAACAATGAAGAGTCGAGTGGTTTCCTGTTGAGTCCCAAACTCGATTTGACTTCAAAATAAAAGGCATTCGAAAGCTGTTATATATATTTTTTTATGGTTTCTCTATCAGTTCTTTGCCTTCAATTGCTTTCGCCAACCTGGGATTTAATGCTCTGAAAGTTTTGTGTGGGATGGGTTTCATCAACTATTTATCTTCAGTGGCGTAATGTAGTTAAGAACATCCAATACATTATTGTACGTAAGAAAGATTGTGGAGCGCTTAACTTAATTGTATTGTATGCTGCTTTATACTTCCAATTCACTACAATTTGGAATCCAAGATCCACTACATTATTTTTGACGAAAGGAGTTAGTTATTTTTACAGATTCAGATTATTAGCAAAACATAAACTCATACAAAACCTATGATACAAAATTGTAGGTTAAGATATGGTGCAGCAATATACTGTATGAAGTAATTCAATATTATCCACCTTTACCAGCTGTGATGAACACATAAATGCGTGAATAACAATAATTCAGTATATTATTATTCTAAAATGGGATATTATTACGCACAATAAGTACTTTTACTTTGGGTATTTTGATGCCAATACTCGTGTACTTTTACTCAAGTAAGATTATCTATGAAGGACTTTTACTTGTGACAAAGTCGTTTTACACTAGTATTTCTACTGTTACTGAGTAGGCCTACCGTTTATCCTGATTAGGTGTTAAACTGCCTTACTAGATTTTAGGGTGCTTGTATTTTGAAAATATGGGAGCGGAAGAATTGGTCTACGCTGCCACTAAACTATCAGATAGCCAACGTTGAATCAGATCCTCCATAATTCTCCAGTGGAAAAACGTGTTAAAACTTCAATTTAATCACTTAAATTGTTCTCGTAAGTGAATTCTGTTTACGTTGGCAGCGTTATCTGGCAGGGGTTTAATGTAAAATGACTCTATTTAGCTTAAAACCTCACGTAATGGAGCAAGCGTAACAGCTAGCAGTTTGTGTTTTCGTTGAGAGGTACACGTTACCTAGTGATAAACAAGTCTTAGCTAGCGTTACGGGCCTCTTCATCAAGACTCGTCGAGATGGTGAGTAAACTTTTGCATACCTCAATGCAAAACGTTGTCAATACATTTTGTAATACTTTATTATTGCATATTTCTGAAATTGTTGTGCATTGTTGCCAGAGTTGTAGAAATACCACAGAGTAGGAGGACTAGTCTGTTACAAGTTAATGTATTGTATGTAAATAGTAACTCAAGTAAAAAAGGTTTCAAAAATGCAAAGTGGCCCATTTCAGCATCATATATATTTTGATTATAATTGTTGATGTATTCATTTGTTTATCAAGCTGGTAAAGCTGGAAATAGTTTCAATTACTTAATTTCTGCTGGGTAGCATGTGAATTGAATCCAGGTGTGACTAAAGTCTTATTTAAGTGTTGATCATATTTTTTTTTAATCATTATTCCATATCAACAAAATAACCAAAGGTACTATGTTAATGTAGTCGAGTAAAAGTACAATGTTTACCTCTTAATTGAAGTACAAAGTAGCATTAAATGGAAATACTCAAATACCTCAAAATTGTACTCAATAACATTACCTTAGTAAATGTACTTAGTTACTTCACACAACTGGTCGTTGCCCCAACCCCTTACATTTCTGAGTTAACTGGAGAAATTTAAAATGTTGCACCATGGCAGATCCTCTCTCGCGTGAAGCCAGCCGTGGGAGGAGAGACGGCAGTGAGCATCAGCGAAAAAAACAAGAAAAACAAGACAAAAGTTCCGTCATTGGAGGAATACCTGCAACAGAGAGACTACCTTGGGGCTTTTACCCTGTTAGAGGTACGTACAGTACACTCATAGCACACCCTTCACTATTACCCTTTACTTGAGGGGATACGTTCAGTCTGTAATCGCATTCAGGGATTACTGTAGTTGTTTAGCCCGTAGAGCAGTGTGTGCTGTACTGCAGCTCACCGACATCTCCAACATCAGAGTTGGTAACATGTACAAGATCCCCAAAAGCCCAATAAAATGTTGCATTGTTATAATAATAATTAAGTGGGATGAAAATGTAACAAAACTCAAAATGATTTAGTTGTAAATGTTTTATCTTTTTAATTTACACACAGCATTTATCTCTCTCCTCCTGGTAGAGATCCTCCTTTGTTGCTCTCTCCGAGGTTTCTTCCATTTCCCCCCCCGGTAACTGTGGGGTTTCTTTGGAAGTTTTTCCTTGTCCGAAGTGAGGGTGTCATATTCATATTCTCTACAAACTGTACAAGTCCACTAAGACAAATGTTACCTTTGTGATATTTGGCTATATAATGTAACTTTGATTGATTGATTAAAAGGTTCAATAAATGCTGAATAACCTGGAAATAAATGTAAGGAATCTAGATTAGTAAATTAAATGTTATAAATGAAGGGTGCCTATTATTCTAGATGTTTACACTTTTAGACAGTACAGCCAAAGATGGATAGGAAAGAGGGAGAGGTCCTACAACATGCAGCAAAAGGCCATATTGATAATTGTATATGTTGACTGATAATTAACAAGAAATAACATCTTATATTTGAGGTAATAGAAACCGTTTTACCATTTTACAGTTAGTCCACTAAAGAGCACTGCCAAGTTTGTTTTTCAATTGTGCAACGTCCCATTAAGTATTTATCTTGGTCACACACAGCTAACAAAATACATATTTTCTTTGCCTGCATGTGATTGATAAGACCATCATTTTCAAAATTCTGAAGTGAAGCAGCATATTTTTTAAATATCCAGAGGATTCAGTTGACAAGCTATTGAGATTAAACTACTGGGACAACTTTCCCATTTGGTGAATAATCTATGCATATATTCTTTAATATAGTATCTGCTGCACTTTCACAAAGGGGTTAACAAATTGTTTTGCAACTGAATGTCTCCAGTTGATTGCCCTGTTTCATGCTCTGGCATTGAAGTTTCAGAAATAGCATCACTCCCACACCTATGCCACAGACAGCACTGTATTCCTGAACGCTGCTGATTTGTTGCTGTGTCATCTCCAGTTTCAGAGAAGTATTGGCGAGAAAGAGGAGCATGCAGACCTCTGGATTGGCTACTGTGCCTTCCATCTGGGCGATTACAAGAGAGCTATGGAGGTACTCTTCGCTGTACATGTGTGTCTTAATGAATGTGTAGTTTAATACACAGGAATGGATCATACATAAATGGAGAAATTAAAACAATGTGACTGGCTCCATTTTTAGACTGACCGCATGTGTTATATTCCCTCTTCATGTGACAGGAATACAAAGCTCTGACCATGAAGCCTGATTGTGCTGAGGACGTGTGGGTCTTTCTGGCCTGTGTACTGTTTTTTCTGGGTCTCTATAAAGAGGCTCAGGACGCTGCATCTAAGGGTAAGCTAGATCATGCTCATGTTAAGCATTCAGTGTCTATCTATTCATTGTATCTTATCTCGCCAATTGACTGTCAAATGTGAACGAGATACGGTGTATGCCTAACAACCAGTCCAAATACAGAATTTGTATTTTCACATATAATAAAATGTTTTGCTTGAATTTGACCATACTGGATATTGGTGTAAAGAAGCTGCATGTTCAAAACGTCAATAAGTATTGGTTTGTTTTCAGTTAAGTTAATCTCTGTACAGTTTTAGTTCCCATAAATTCATTTAACACCTCCGTTATTGTTAACATTTTTGCCACATATCGTTTGTGTAATTGAGCAAATGTAATGATGTAAATACATTGTGCCTCTCATGTGGATTGCTGTGTTACTACATTTGGTATCTCTTGCGGTCTGTAGCTCCAGTGTCCCCCCTCCAAAACCGACTACTCTTCCACCTGGCTCACAAGGTTGGAAAACAACTATATATTTTTACTATTGCGTTTTTTATTGACCTTATTTCCCTCACTTAATAATCAACAATGTACTGCTGAGCCACCCTGCACTGTAAATGCAGTTTTTTGGTTTAAAATACGAGAGAAACACACATCTTCCTGTCATCGAATGCTGATCTGATTGTTCATTCCAACTAGTTTTGTCTGAGCTCAACACTGAGAAAAACTTTGTGCAATTTTGATCATTTATGTGCATTCATCTCAATACAAAGCTGGTAATATCGTCTTTGTACCCAGATCCTTTACTTAGCTAAAGGTAGAAATAATGTGGTCTGAAAACACTTCTTCAGTACAAGCGGAATGCACTACTACTTTAG